GGTTAGCTGCAGAGCTGTGGTTAGGCTAATGTAAACAGATTAATTAATCTGCTGCTGGTTTGGATTACTCTGTGAAAACGCCCTGATCCTCAGCTGACACACCTGAGCTGACACACCTGAGCTTAAAGACGTGCTGCACGTGACCAGAGCTGATGAACAGCAGGATGAGCGAACGCGTCGGTTTTATTAATGATGCAAACAGCCAGAGGTCAACAAGCAGGCAGATTACTGAGTACAGATGACTTCATGTTCAGGAAACATCTCTGCAGGAGGGTTTACGAGCCTCACAGCTGAGTCCAGCCTGCTTTGTGAACATGCTTTCTCTGGAGACGTATGAGCTTCGAAACCAGATGTCACTGTCAGTCATCTACAGTCACCCACTGGTCACTGCATCAGTGCTAGGAAACTAACTGTATATAAAAGAAGGACGGAGTCACCGTGACATCACCGCTGGTTAGTGAGGTCATGCTGCGAAGCCACAAACTGAACGTTATTGCTGTCACCGTGTTTAAAACCAGAGGTCCCTGGTGTGCACTAGATCTGACTCTGAAACTGACCGATGCTGCATTCTCATTGGCTAATAACTCACCAATGACCAAATCCTATGTTGCTGTCCTCTGTGACTGTAACTGGACGATAATTTCCAAAATGAGCTTCATGTTTTATTTACAGCTGAAACATGAGGGAAACATTCACTGAGCTCAAGTCAGCTGAGCAGGACACTCACAGACAACCAGAGGAGTCGCCCCCTGCTGGCCATTAAACGTTAGTGCACTTCCTCTTTGGTGTAACATTTCAGACCAGGAAGGTAAAAGGTTTACGAAAGCCGACGGTGGGGAGACTCTGAAAGACAGACAAACACTGACCTGGATGCTCTGGAAGGTCTGGAAGGAGCCGTCCAGCCAGACGTAGATGGTGGAGCTGATGATGGTGGTTCGACCGTCAAAGGTGTTGGCCACCACCAAAAAGTGGTACGGCCCCACAGTAAAGAACTCCCAGTCGTAGGCTCCGGACGTCAGCAGAGTCTGGTTCACCTCAAATAGCTGCAGAGACAGGAGGGACGGGTTGGGACCGAAAACATGAGGACAGAGACGATCAGCAGCATTTATAAAGGACAGGACAGAGAGGACATGAATGCTCGTGGCAGGACAGGAGAAGATCTCATGTAGTGACTGAACAGCAGCACCTTTGTGTCGGGGTTCCACCTGTAGATCACACTGTGGATGTTGTGGTTGGAGTCTCTTTCTGAGGACACACAGGGACACATTGACATGATTTTGACACTTCAGTTCTCGTCCATGTGATCACAGAGTAAAGACAGAGAAGTGCATCCAGCTCAGAAGAACGAGTCGTCTAACAACGAGAAACACAAAAACCATCAAATGAAATCTCCACGGAGATTAGCCTCAACAAAAGGGAATCACCGTCAGCTGCATCTCACACCTTCATGTAATCTAATTACATCTCTACAAAACCCTGGAACTGAGTCTCTATTTGTTCTTTGTACCTAACCAACACCAGATTATCTTCAGGATCAACCTTGGCTAATTTCTTTTCAGAGTGACTAAGATGATGGACTCTGATCTGCAGGACCATCCAGGTCTTCGAATCAGTGTGGCTGTGATAGAACAGACTGATGGTTTGGACTGTGCTTGGTGCAAAGACACAACCTCATTCAGTTTCTGTTTCAGGTATTTTACCCACAGACTAACAGATAGAGATGACGACGGACAAATACATGTTTGACCAAACTGTTTGGTTTACGGTTGAGACGAGTTTCTAACCTTCACCCTCGATATGGAGCTCTCAAAGCTTTGTGACTGTTTGTTTTCCACGTGTTAAAAGCTGAGTCGTGCACAGACATTGCCATATTAAAGTTTGTCATTGATGCTATCTGAAGGGTGTGTGTCAGTACTCATGGAGGTACCTGCAGGCCTAAACCTGCCCACTTTAAAGTTCTCTGCATGCAGACCGGAGGTTTCCTGGATGCACGTTTGTGAGAGGGATTAGCATCCATGAAGTGAAAATAATCCACGTGTTTAGTGATCCTGGTTTGTCCAGTTACAGTTTGAGTTCTGTGAAAATGAAGGATGGTTAAAACAGTCGTGGCGGTGATGTTCAGACCTGTGACTCGAATAAAGTCTCCTTCAAAATCATTTTATCTGAGTTGACTTTTTTCTACAACACAAATGTGTTTGAGTAAGTTTGGATAGTTTGGTTGGAGACACGACTGCAGACGACCTGTTTTTAAATAAAGACATTAAAATATTCTTGTAAATGCAGAAGTTTGAGGTTTGAACCATTAATGAATCTTTAAAATATCCCATCTGATTTTTCACAGCCTGCTAGCAGCTAATTATTTACCCGGTACAAAAGTCCCTTCATAATCTGCCAGTTTTTGCTCGTTTCATGTATTTAGCAGATAAAGAGGACAGAAAATCAAAGTTGGCCCATTTATATCGAACGTGTTGGTGTTGAGGTGATTTCGGTCGGTGCGCTGTGATTTCACCATCATTCAGAATAAACACGAGCTCAAACAGAGAGACGGCGCACAGAGGTGTGTGATCTAACCACAGTACACCTGCACAGCCTCAGCCTCAGGAGTGTTTTATCTTTACAGGAAGTGCACACATGAATGTGTTTGAAGTGTTTACACTGACGAGGAGATACGAGCTCTTCAAAGCTCCTGTTTGGTCAGGTGGAAACCTTGTATCTCCATCATCAAAAAGCCTCGTTTTAACCTCTAAACCCATCAGAAACGACTGGCTGCTCAGGAGCTCCTCATCCCGCTGCAGAGACTCGTTAAACTCAGATACTTCCTTCACTGTGGAAAATACCCTGAACATGAAGGAAAATCAAATTTAACGAATAAATACTGCCGATCAGGAACGTTTGATCCTGAAAGTTCATCTTTGATCTGGAAATAAAAAGAAAAGTTTTATTAAAGGTTCTGTTTGCAGCATTTTTATGCATGAAATGCTTCGTTGGCCTCACAGACTGCAGGAGAGGGACATCTCAGGGCACAAAGAGCCGACGCCACTCTCCATTTATTATTTTTAAATTTTGATTAACTCAGAAAGACGTGGCCTGATGATGTTCTCCTGTGGAGACGACATTGAGCTCTTATCCTGGTTTTGTGTGAAGCCCCAGCAGCTGCAGTGATCCATTCATTTAAAATGAAAAAGACTGCATTACAGCCCACTTCCTGTTTACCTCGTCTGTGATTGGCCACGACCAGGAAGCTGTGGTTGTGAATGCGAAAGGCCTCCCAGTCCTGGGCAGTGTGAGTCTCCAGAGTCTGATAACGGACGAAACGCCGCCGCCGCCGATGCCACTGATAGATGACAGACCGCTCAGACCCCGCCTCTCTGAAGTTTGCCGCCACCACGAGAAAAATCTGAAGGACAGAAACACGGAGATGGATTTGGTTTAACATCACAGCGCCGAGCGGCCCTGCTCAGCTTTCACTGAACCGACGACTCACAGAAGTTCACACCAAGGAGAAGTCTGTGTGCGCTGCAGTGACCTCTGACCTCTGCAGTGACTGTTCCTTTACACACTTCTCTGAGTTAACAGGACTGAATACCTGCAGCACAATACCTGCACACAGCTGTGTGTGTGTGTGTCACACACTGTGCAAACAAGGCCAACACAATGTGCACACAAGGGTTCAAAGAGAATCAGCCTCAGATCTGTTTGTCCTCCTGTCCTCCACCCTCTGAGCTCCATCCACTCCACAACTCTCAGCTGCACCACCATCAAACTGGATTTATTAATCAAGTTTTAAATGTTCTGCCTGTTTCGCTTGATTAGATCTGATCCCTCTGCCTCATTGCACTTTGTGTTTTCTGTCTGTGACAGAAACAAGCTGCTTTGTCCTCTGACGGCTTGTCCACCGACGTCCACGTCAAGGACCGCACACGAGTGTGATGTCAGACAGTATTGATTTTATCCAACAATAAATCGCATGATGGCACAAAGACATTTAGTTTCTATGGTAACAGCCAACAGAAGGACAGTTAGCGATTAGCTATAACTTAGCAGCGAAGCAGGTCTCTGTTGTCAGCATGTTTACATCGTCGCTCATCTATACAAAACACACGACACACTGAACATACAACGATCCGTGACTGTCGCAGTGACAGTGTGAGCTCGTGTCGTGCATCAGTCACAGCAGCACGGTGCTGGCTGCTTGTAGGCCGTGGGCGGAGTTAAGCCCATGGCTTTGAGCTGAGCTCCTTGAACTCCTCGTCCATGTTGGAGGCGCTCACCTTGTCGTCGATGGTGAAGTGTTTCCAGGATCGAGCCTCCTGAGTGCTGATGTTCTGGTAGAGCTGGAAGGAGGCGTTGGTCCACCTGTAGATACCTGAGCCGGACCGAGAGTCCCTGCCAGGGGAGACACGAGGGTTAGACTGAGAGGACAGAGACTTTTCTACAGCTGTGTTTCTGCTGCCGTGTTATTACTTGTTGGCTGCAGCCATGAACAGGCCCTCAGACGGGATGGAGAAGACCTCGACGTCCAGGGTCTCTGAGCGGGTGTACAGGTCCTGGTAGTCCTCCACGTAATCCAGACGCTGCTTACCTGCACAAACAGGTGATACAGCTTACATGGAGGACAGACACATCGCAGGCACATGACATCATCGTCAGAGGTTAACAGAACCAAACCAGCCCCATCCCAGCGCTACGTTCACATGAACCCTCCTACAGTCTGCTCCACC